TTTTTGCTGTAATACTTTTTACACTCGTTGCTCCCGAAGGTCTTACTTTTTAAATTTTATGATTTACAATTCACAAAATGACTCATTTTGATACATTTGAAATAAAATCACGCGTAAAAAAAACGTGTAAAAAGGGATATTGGAGTCACTCGCTTACGTAAGTTGAAATTATACACTTTTATGAAATTTCAAGGTCCTGTCTTGTAAAATTAACTCCTGCGCACTCCCGTATCCAGACAAAGGCGTACTGACTTTTTCGAAAAATTAATATAACACCCAGAGACTTTTGATTTCAATACTCCTGCAGTAATCCTTAGTTGCGTTTCAAGTAAACCTAGAATACCAACAGGATCTCATCCAAGACGAAACTTTGCAACTCACGAGCGTCAGTCCAATCAGTCCCATTGAGGATGTCAGTCCTTACTCCGTCGTAACTCAGTGGAGGTTAGCTCGCGAGCCGGAGTACTAGGGAGGCCACAGCAGAGGTGACAGGAGTCGACCAGTTAATTACAGAGAGCCACGGATACGGTGGTTAGCGGCGTCAATATTGGATTCACGTGAAATTTCGCCGATGCACGCGAACGCTCGTTAATCCATCCTTGCCCACGTGAGATTTATACCTATCGTGGCCCGTGCCATTTTCTTCGCTGTACCGCTGCAACGTCCCACAGCGCCGTGCGATGTGAATTACTCTCTATAATTTCATTTTGGCGGGGCTTGCTTCGAGCGCGGTTAATTCATTGCTGGCATGGCTCACTTTTCGAAAGATAGTTTTTTATATTGGAGCGTTTTGTAAGGGATATTTGGGTTTTGGGTGCATAAGAAAGTTGTAAATTCTCTTCAAGTTTAAGTGAAAATTAGCTAATTATAATGGAGAATTGCGACTTTTATTACAAAATTTGTAGAAATAATAACTGTGGGCAATATTTATTAACCATATTTGGTATTTCACTCAATAGAAAAATGATAGCTTTATTGATTAACGCTTTTTTAATATGTCAATACTGATACCTATAATTATGATGATTATCGGTTCTTCGCTTATTCATATCAAGAGAGTAAATTAATCAAATTATGCTTTATGTGTATTCGATGTTTGCTCTGAAAATAAAGTTTTATTTATGGTAAAAATGCATTTTAATCGAGTATAAATTAATAAAAATTGGGAATGATTGGATACGACTTATATATGTACAGTGTGAAGTCGTGTATGATAAAAAGCGTGCTGACTACCGAAAAAAATTCAAGAAAATATACATACGAGCTATTAAGGTAATACTTGTGACTACTAACATACAAAGTACTACAACTACAAGAAAGACGTACGAGGAGGTTGAGAAAAATAAAAAAATAAATAAAAAAAAACATGGAACTAAGTACATATTACACGACTATAAAGATAAACACCATTTTTTGAGAGAAATGATTAATACAAGCTTTCATTTCGGTATCCATAAGAGAATGGACATTGTTACGCTTTACAGTAGAAAAACCATGCACAGTAACAGTTCGGAGGTTGAAGAGACACAGAGACGTGATTTCCGCATGATTGATTGAACGTTAAAAAAAGTTTTTCGCGCATACAACGACTCTGATAGCTTTCCGTCACATATAGAAAATGAGGGTAGAGGGGCTCGCGTGGGAGGTACGCGTGCGTAAAAAAAAAAAAAAAAAAATCACGAAAAAACCTTGATTAATCGGTAGGTGATAAATTATACTTTGGATATTTTTAACATACAAAAACGACAAAATTAACGTCGGACTTTACTTAAATGTAAATGAAGTGAACTGCACGAATCGAATGTAAATGAGAGCATTAATAATGACAGATGACTCAGAATTGTTCGGCTGTTGAATAATGTAAATGATCTATCGGACGTGCTCTGTTCTCCCCATATTCTAGAATTAATTTATTTTTGCGTACGGAAAAGTCATTTTGCCACGAAAACTCAGGTAAAACTAAACATTTATAGTATGTAAACTCGGTAGTTTTTGTGTTGATTACATTGGTCGTTAATATCACGTCATGCGACATTGTTAAGTGTATTGATATATGAATGCATTATAAGTACATAAATATATACATTCACGTTATCACAACGTCAAAAGCAGCATCGAAATCACAATGAATAATTTAAACATTTAAAATAAAATAAAAAATGTATACAGACAATCTATCATCTCGACAAAAAAAGTATACATCGATAAAAAAGTTTCTTTAAAATGCTTCATACAATATTCTTACAAAGACGAGAGCTCACCCTTTGCTGCTTCCTGATACCGGACAAATCGCCATCGTTTCGAGATTATGGAAAGTTATTCTTTATCTCAAGTAAAAAAGCCAATGCTCGATACCAGTGTGGTACTCATATTTTTTTTTCTTTTTTTTTCATTTGCATATATTTTTTTGTTCACTTAGCAGTGATTTTGATAAAAAATATTTACGGTATCAAAGACGAGGATTCTGGTATTTATTTTTGTTATTTACCACACGAATTTGCTTACATTGGGTCGTTCATGATAAAATAGTTTGGTTACACTCTTAAAGTTTTCAGAAAAAAGTAGTAAAAATACAGATTGTTATTTTACGTCAATTAACTTTCTTTTTTTAATTTTCTTGAGAAATTCTCATAATAACGAACTGTGGTTGCACTCAAAACCAATAAATAAATAACGTTGTGGTAAATGTGAAACAGGAATTTTTTTTTTGGTATTTTAAATTACCATTTGATAAAAGAGAGTGAAACAAATCATTTAAGAACGATCCAGCAATTAGACGTGTGAATGATACCTNAAAACCAATAAATAAATAACGTTGTGGTAAATGTGAAACAGGAATTTTTTTTTTGGTATTTTAAATTACCATTTGATAAAAGAGAGTGAAACAAATCATTTAAGAACGATCCAGCAATTAGACGTGTGAATGATACCTAACAAGCGTTTTTCCTTACCTCTGGAAACCTCATGAGACTTGGTATAGCTTTTTTTAACTATTCACAATCTTATCGCCCGAGCATGTATATTGAAGAGAAAAATACACTCGATCGAGCTTACTTTAAGAACTTTATCATTGGTGGAATTATTTTTGAATTATTTCTTACAGTAATACAGTTTGGAGTAGGACAACACATCATACGCAAGCCAATAGTAATATTATGATGTAAACCCTTAATAGAAACTACGTTCATAAAAAATACCCCTTTTCGCGTTTTCACATGTTTTTTTTTTTTTTTTTTTTTTCATGTTAGCGTTTCTCATGGGTGTGTGTTGGTTTGAGCCGGAAGTTGCATGCGAGTGGCGTTTTTATGTTTAGTTGATAAATTTCGTTGTTGCTTGAGTATTTAGGCTGAAAATGAATATTTTTCAGAAACTGTTGTGTAATCACGTCGNTGTAAACCCTTAATAGAAACTACGTTCATAAAAAAAAAAATTAAAAAAAAATCTTAGTACTAGAGGTTTGGAATCTAATAATTACTTTATCTATGAAGCTAATACCAAAAGAATACCATTAAACCAAGGAGCGATGAAAAGCAATAATGTCGACTTTCATACGAATTTACAAAAATTTTTGGTTAATTGAATGTAGAACTGATTAGTATTTCTAGCTATTCAACATTAAGTCATAAAATAAATTTATTGCTCAGTTCGTGTACCGTTGCATTACACATCGTAATGACTAATAAAAACAGTGTCAGAGATGATGTTTACATATTTGGATAAAATTTTGAAATAAGTATATTAGACTCTAAAAATCCAAAGATTCTTTGAATTGACGAAACTTTTGAGCTGAAGCTGAAAATTTAAAAAATGTATCTTTCACTAATAGAGTTTTATCTAATTTGCACCTCATTAGCATATTCCGTCACTGCGAAAGACAAACACTAGAAGTGCAGACGACGTATTACGATGTGTTTTAATTACTCCAAAAATCTATGACTCAAAACCCCGCAAAACCCAGCCAGTTCTGACACTTTTATTCCGAGTTTAGTTTTTTTTCTTTTAAATGCAAATTGCCAAGAACAACAATAACAAATTCAATATTTTATCCCACTTTAATAGGTAACATTAAAACCTTGATATTGTATCGTCCAAAGGCAATAAAGAGTTGATTGTTTGTTGCTGCCAACAGTCGTAAATGACCTGCAAAATGTTTTTAGCCATAACCCCAATGAAAAAATGTATGAATCGCATGTAATGCAAATAAAACTTCCACATGAAAAATCTTTTCGAAAACATGTCGTTCATTATTGCTTTTCGATGATTCCATCTTTCTTCCATTTCCAAAGACAGACGGAAGCCCGAGTACCCGTGATGCGACTCTAACACCCTCGCAAACAAAAAACCCACTAGCCATCAGATATAATGCAGGCGCATAGAGTGCACATAGCCGACGAGGTTTCCGTTTCAGAGCCTCGAGGAAACAGAACAACACACAGTGAAGGAGGAAAGAAACCCCCGAAAGGTAAAGAAAGAGTCGGTGCTCAAGAGTATACAGTCGATTAGAGATACGAAGGATGTGTCTTTAGCGTGGAAAAGTCAAAGTTCGAAGGGTAAGGCCTCGATTCACGTACAGGCGGGCCTGTTCGAGCGAACATTTTAACCGAAACCCGACAGGAAGAAAGTGATAGGAAAGAAGTGAAGAAGAAGAGCTACGCCGGCCGAAGCATCCTTACCAAGAATCCTACGCCGCTGGTGTGATTGTCGGCGATAGAGGTCGCGAGGCGCGGTCTATTATTGGAGAACGCGGCGATAAGCTTGGAGCGCAAGCGCTCGGGCAGCAGTTGGACGAGCGGCGAGTTGACCGGCAGCAGGAGGGTCGCTGCCTTGGGCTCGGCCGGTTGCGGTTCGTTACCGCCGGCCGGGGCTAAAGCCAAGGCCGCGGGGCTCGCTCTCGCCTTAAACTCACGAACAGAGAGCACAGCGGACGTGGAGGTAGAAGTAGTAGTAGTAGTAGTAGTGGGGGCTTGAATTTGTTGCTGCTGGCCCGCTTGATATCGTACCGTATCGCCTACCTTCTTCTCCCACTGGAGGACGTAGGGCACGGGGTGCTGGTCCGGGAATTCCACGTGGCAATTGAACACCACGCTCTCGCCCAGTATCGCCGTGATGTGGACCGCGTCCTGGTGGTTGCACACGCCTGAGGGAACAAACAAAACGATCCAATTACTTTTTTTTTTAAAGAATCTTTTTTACTTTTTGCTCTACTTTTATCCCCGTTATCAATTGTGTCTTTAAACGTGGACTGCAATCGTAATTTCATTAATATTTTTTTCTTTTGAGATTTCTAAATCACAAAAATTAATACTTATATCAAAATATATTTATTTTTCAACATTATCCATCGTATGAGTTCTTGTTTTTTTACCTTTACTTTTTCACGCATATTTGTAACTGAATAATCGTTAGGCTATTATCCTTAAATTATAAGTACTCTACAGATGTAGCACTTGATTAGGTGGTTTTTATAGAGCCTTTTCAATGGAAAAATCGCTGAAACCACTCACAAACGTAGTATCCGATTTTTAAGCTAAATAATGAATTGTTTTTGATGCTACCAGAAATTACTATGATACCAACACAACAAGAAATAAGTTTTCTAATTGGTGGTCGTATTTAATCGATCAGTGATCGCTGCTTTGCACTTAATGTTTGGTACACGTTGTTACGTTTGCATCATAGAAGAGGTCATTCATCCATAAACCTGACAATATAGTGGGAGTATATTTGGGACAATTCTTAAGTCTGAAATAACTCCTCAACACTTATAGTTGGATAAACGTAGGGCCCGAGAGTCCGTAGGGTATAGCTCCGGTTGGAGGACGCTTATGTGCTAAACATTGTTTTACTAAACGAGGGAGTGCATGGTAATTATCCAAATAAAATGAAAAACGCCCCAAGGCGTGAAAAGATAATTCTACGCAATTGTTTTTTAATGTGAATAAAAGAATAAATTTGTGTCGATGTAAAAAAATTCTTTAAGACGTGTTATTTAACATGACCACCCGAGACACGGCAAACGAGGTTGCATAAGAATTAGTATTGATATCTCTAAAAGAGCAAAAAACTCTAAATCCACTGGAATCCTTTCAAAACAAAGGTCAAATAATCCATGCCCAAGAGATGAGAAAGGAAAGGCGAGCACAATAGAAAAGCCGCAGTGGTATGGAGCCTCCCGCGAGAGCAATAATAATCTCGGCGCGTTCGTATAATGCAGCAGATCAGAATCAGTTCGATCGTGGTTGGCTCGCCTCGCGTCAAAGGAGCAGCGGTGGCAGACGTTAAAGCTAATCCGTGCTCCTGACGGCGGCGGCCCTTTACGAGCGACTGGCGTCTCTTCCCTCCGCTCTTTGGCAGACACGGGGCACCAGCTGCCTCTTGATGCCACACCCGCCACTGCAATATTGCATTATTAGTTCACCGTCCCCTACACCTTCCCCGATGTAAAGGCACAGGAGGGGTAAAGTCATACCATGTCACGTCTGGCTTAGAGATGCGGCGAGAAATATCCTGTGGCTTTTCGGCTAAGGTGGTGCTATACGTGTGGTTAGTTGATCGGATAACGCCATCTGATTCAACGTGACGGTATTGATAGATGTTATAGGTTTTGGGCATTTCGTCACGCGATTTCATTGAATTTTTTTTTCCTTCAGCGGTATTAGGTATGGATGTCATCTCGAAGATCAAATTGTTATCGTGATATTACCATTTTGTGGTCATCGGTTGTGTTACGTCGAAGACGGCGTAGGAGTAAATTTTGTATTTAGGACTAAGCTTTCGCTCAATAGCCTGGGAACATGACAGCAAGGATTGAAGACGGAGCACTGGGGTAGGAACAGGGTAGATGATTGTAGAAGGGTTAGCTAGCTACTTGGCCATCGGTATTTGTACCCACGGCACGTAACTGGCCATTTATTTGGAATTGGTAAGTTGGTTCCTCTTTAAGGGCCTATGGTCGTTGGTTGCCGATATTTTACTAGCGACGCACGACGTATAGTTTTTAAAAATTGGGTTGGCTAACTAAGAGCTGGCTGTTTGGCCGTCGGCATTTACACCAACCAACACACAACTTGATTTTTACTTAAGGACTAGTTGTTTGGCCATCGGCATTTACACCAACCGGCACACAACTTAGCGTTGCTTGATTTTTATTATTTTTTGAATAAAAAATTTTCTTTCACCACCTGCTTGGCCATTAATATCCGGATTAAACGGCACGCAATAGTGGGTTTTACGCGAAAAGAAAAACTATTGGGGGATATACAATAATTAAGTTTGAAAAAAATATTATTACTTACTTTTATTAAAAGGAAAGAAAAAAGTGGGTACAAGTGGCTCTCGAGGCAAGATCCGGGTGGCCGGATATAATTTAAATCGAAATTGCGGACCGAATTCTCCAGGTCACGAATAGACTTCGACCGGATTCTCCAGGTCGTGTATTCTAGTCTGGCTACTGCTCTCGGTGGTTTACCAAGCTGGCCTGACCATTGAATGCATCGACCGGGTTCTCCAGGTCGTATGCCTTTAGTCTGGCTACTGCTCTAGGTATACACCCAAGCTGGCCTGACCATTGAACGAATTTTTTTGAGACTGAGCTGCTCGTGCAGGAGGCCATGGGCTTATGTAGCCGAAGATCTTGCCTCCTTATCATTGCCACTACGGTCAGAGACGACGAGACGCACATACGTTCTTAGAATTAGTCTGCATCATCTCGTGGCAGGGAGACGGAAAGATTTCCTATACGCTTTCCGTCTTCCTTTACATATGCTGTTTTGGTTTTGGAGTGACGCTTACTTGCTAAAGAATATAGTATAGTAACGATACTGGTCCCAGTGCTTGCTTATCAAAATTAGGTCGCATTACAGTTCACGTTATTTTTCGGCTTGGCGTCTCTGGGTACTGTAAGTGTTAGAGAAAGAAGGCGGTAGAAGTATAGCATGCTGTTGTCAAGTCACGTTTCATGGACGCTGGCCGATGTGTGGATCAACATTGTGGCTCAAGCGTCAGCTTATTTACGAATGGTTAAGACACGGAAGAGGAAAAGGATAGAAAATAATTATTAAGTTTCATCAGGTGATGTCGACGCATAAGGAGGGAGGGAGATGTAGACTAGTTTTTCTTTGTCTTACTCGGTCTCTCCTTATGTGTGTGTCACGAAGCCTTATCTTCGGTACTTGGTATATGTGTGAGTGTATGTCATTTAGCTTGATACGAAAACGCGGCTTTACGAGGAGGATAAGAAGAGGAGGAGAGGAAAATAAAAGGTACGTCGAGCACAGCCTCGATGTAACAGTTGCCAAGAATAAATCTTTCAAATCTGAGGTTTGGAATGTAGTTATGCTTAAAAAAATGCTTCTGCTTTGTCAAACTCATGTCCACTAATTGTTAAGGTTGATTTTTCGTATGTGCTTATTAAAAGTTTTACGGAAATTAAGACAGTATCCCTGAGTTTGAGGGTAAAAAAATTCATTGCTGAGCTGTAACAAATGTAAGCTTATATAACAATGATTATTTGAAATTTTGAATTTTTATTCATACTTCATCATAATCATTGATCAGGCAGTATTTTTCAACAGCTCAAAATTTTTTGATAAAACGTTAGCCAAAGTTCATTCTCTATAAAATCAAATCTTATGACGAGGTTTTTCAACTTTTGCTCCAGTCAATACAAAAATTTAGAAATAAAAGCTGGGATCAAAGTAAAAACTGAAAGAGAATATTCTTGGCATTTTATTCGGTCATTTGCTAGTCGGTAGTAATAATCCAAACCACGAAACCTGAGTATTTTCATTCTCATACTCCACCCTTTTCCCAGAGATATCATTTCACTTCGAATAAAAAATTCATAATCTTCCATGAAGCCAGTCTTAAAAAATCAAACATTTTTTTTTTCACCCCGAAGCAACGTTAGAATGTCTCAAGTTTGAGTGCTGCGATCCAACTTTCCATCAAAGTAATGATTCTCTTTAAAAACCAACCACTTTTAATTAATTCTCTTTCCTTTCTCCTTAACTACTGCGTCCCTTATGTAACCGATAGTGCACCGAGAAGTTAACATACATACCGATCAACAAGTTATATACGCCAAGGGATCCCATGGTACCTGTATGGTAAGAGCTCCCACCGCCTTCTATTTTTACAGATATAGTAGAGCAGAGCGCATAAGCCCGAGTGTTTTGTGTCCGCCGTCGTAGCCGTCGAGGGCTTTTTTACGACATTCCATACCTGCCTTCTAGCCCCCGTATACTCGCGAGAAAGGGTTATAAAATGATATCCGTTATGGAAAAGGAGGGGGTGAGAGGTGGTGCGGGTATACGGACCCCTAGGTGTATGAAGAAAGGCTAAGGCTGGCGTGCACGTGAAATACATGCTGTCGCTTGAGAGATTTATGGGGTCGCCCCGCCGAGGGATACGCGAACGTGTGGAGAATCGATCTACTTCGTTTGTGCGCATCGACTTGAGAAAAAGTTCGGCGCGTCAAAATGCTGCTGAATAAAAATTAACTGCATACAACCGATTGACAATCGTCTATTTCTGAAAGCTGATTTTTACCTGCCGTTATCAAGTTTTGTTTTTGTCTGTACTTAAATGTCATTGTTTCCATGAAAATCAAGGAGTGCAGGAGTATCACGTGAACAAATAGACGAATTGTGATTGTGAACGAGCTATGGCACTGTCATTACATTTGTTTAACTTATTAATAACATCAAGTAAGGCTATTGGGAATACAATTTTTAGCTTTGAAGCTGTTCTCAATCTAAGTTTAACAAAGGACTCTTCAAAACAGTACTGTTTTATTGAACACAAGCATTCTGTGAACAGAAGATTCCTGGTTTACTCAGATAAAAAACTATATTTCTCTTGTACTATAGAGAAATAAAATTATCTTTCTACATAAGAATCATAATATTACATGTTTTTAGGTGAAGGATAAACATTGAAATAAAGTCCTTTTTTTGTACAATTAATTACAGTAGTGTTAATAAACGTTGTAACGACAAACAAATAAATCGTATCGATCTATTTAGTCTGTTTTATTGAATTGATAAACTTTTTTTTTTTTTTTTTTATCAGCGATTGACATAAAAAGGCTGTAAAAAGTGAAACATTTCCGTCACATACATAAGACACTTTTATGCG